GGCGCAGTTTGCAACTCCCCAGCAGCCAGCAGCCCGAACCCCCCGGCACCAAGACCCCCACCTCCTACAAAGTGGTGAGTCCCTGCACCTGGCAGGTCCCTCCCAGAGCAGAGGGGATGCTGGGGGCCGGGGAAGGGGACAGGGTGACATCCAGGGGGGCTCAGCCGGGCCGGGGTCCCTCGCAGGTGCGCCGGCACCGCAGCATCCACGAGGTGGATATCTCGGACCTGGAGGCTGCGCTGCGCTCGGACGACCCCGGGAAGGTGTACGAGACCCCCCAGGAGGAGATCGCCCGGCTGCGCAAGATGGAGCTGGAGCCGCAGCACTACGACGTGGACATCCACAAGGAGGTGAGCACGGGGTGTCCCGGGGGCGTGGGGCATCCCTGGGAGGTTGATCCATCCTGGAGCCGCTAACCAGGGGCTGCCCTTGCCCAGGCGGGTGTTGGGGTGAGCGGGGCAGGCGGTGCTGGAGGGGGACGGGTCCCCCGTGCCCAGCACAGGACTCACCCCTTTCCACCGCCCCCAGCTCTCCACGCCTGACAAAGTCCTCATCCCCGAGCGGTACGTCGAGCTGGAGCCCGAATCACCCCTCAGCCCCGAGGAGATGAAGGAGAAGCAGAAGAAGGTGGAAAGGATCAAGACCCTCATTGCCAAATCCAGGTGGGGCTGCGGTGCCCGTGCCAGCCATCCCTGGGGGGGGGGTGAACCCTTCCCCGGCCACCCCGAGGGGCCTGGCATGGGCACTGACACCGGGTGCTCCACTCAGCCTGCAGAACGTGATCCCCCTGGGCGAGGGGGAGGTGGACACCCCCCAGGACCCCGAGACGCAGCTGCAGGAGCAGGAGAAGAGGATCGAGATCTCGTGCGCCCTGGCTGCCGAGGCCTCGCGTCGCGGCCGCATGCTCTCAGGTGAGGGCCGGGGGGCTTGGGGGGCTTGGGGGTCCCTACACCCCCCCGGGAGCACTGCATGCCGGGTGGGCAGCAGGGATGAGGGCAAGGCAGGTTGGGCACGTCAGGTGTTGGTTTGGCAGCAAGAGCAAGGAGTCACGATGGGCAGAGAGGGGTCAGTAGTGTGTCGATCCTGGGCAGTGGGAGAGCCAACAGCTCCCGGGCCCTGCCCGCCATGCCTGGGGCTGCCTTCCCCGGAGATCCTGGGATGGAGCAGCTATTACAGCAGGGCTCAGCTTCCAGCACCTTGCTGGGAGCGTTTGCAGGGGGTGGGAGTGCCTGGCTGGGGTGGGCATGAGGTGACACGCCTTGGCTGAGCGAGCGTGGTGGCACCCCATGCCCAGGGGGATTGTGGTGGCACCCCATGCCCAGGGGATAGTGGTAGCACCCCATACCTGGGGGACTGTGGTGGCACCCCATGCCCAGGGGATGTGGTGGCACCCCACACCCAGGGGATTTTGGTGGCACCCCATGCCCAGGGGATGTGGTGGCATGTCATGCTCAGGTCAGCACGGTGCCATGCTGCCCCTGGGTGACGGTGGTGCCACGCTGTGCCGTGTCCATGAGGAGCCCTGCCGGGAGCTCACGTGTGCGCGCCGGGACCGGGCACCGCTGTGGCTGTTTGTCCTGCCCGCGCTTGCTTCCCCCCTGCCTGCCTGCCATCCTTCCTTCTCCCTTCCTTTTCCCCCGTCCCTTTCCTCCCTGCTAACCCCTGGCTGGGCGCCCTCCCCGCTGCCGCAGCCCGTGTGTTCCTCACGCCCTTCTCCCGTTTCTGTTTCCAGCTCAGTGCGCTACCCCCAGCCCTCCCACCTCCCCAGCCTCCCCGGCTCCTCCGACCAACCCCCTCTCGGCCGAACCCCGGGGCGCCGACAGCAGCCACTTAATGCGTGTGTGAGCCGTGACCGTAAGCACCTCTTCTCTCCTACCGCATCCCAGCCCAGCCCCTCTCCAGCCCGGGGAGCCCGGCCGGGGTGTCCCTTCTGCGCCCCGCGCCCGGCCATCGCTGCTTGCTCCAGCTAACCAACATTCCCTGAGCCACGTCAGCCCCGTCTCCTCCATGGACCAACACGAGTGTCCCCCACGGCGCTGGGGGTCAGCCCAGCGTGGGCACGGGGGGCTCAGCAGGCTGCTGTGGGCAGGGGGGCCATGCAGGGAGGAAAGGGAGGCGTCTCTGGGATTCACCTGCCTGGCGTGAAATTGGTGGCTGCAAACTGGGAGGGGACGCAGCGTCCCCCTGCTCGGGTGGATGTTCCTCCAGGGGGTCCAGGGCCATAGAGCCAAACCTGTGCCAGGTTTTCCCGCGTAGGGCAGGGAGGGGGCTGCGGGGTGGGCATGGGGACTGCCTCAGAACCCCACTCAGCCCTGCTCTCCCGCCCCTCCAGCTCAAGCCCTGGCTGCTGCCGGCGCCATCAAGTTCCACGGGGCCACGTTTTAGCCCCCCCACCGACACGACACCGAACCTCTCGCCATCGTTTTTTGTTCTCCTGGACCCCCTTCCCTCCCTCCGACGGCGAGACCACCCGGCATGGCCGCGCGGGGGGGATGCGGCACCGACAGCACCGGCTGCTCTGCCCCGGCCGAGGAGACGTGGGGGTGCTGGAGATGGTCCCCGAGGAGCCCCCGGGCTGGCAGTGGGCACAGGGACAGATCTATCGTGTCCTGGGTGCCAGGCCCACACGGGCAGCCGGGCAGGGACATCTGTGACAGCAACCACTGGCACAGCGGGCACCTTCCTGCCAGGGCATCCCTGGGGAGCGTCGGGACTCCTGGGACGCCTCCCAAAGGTCTGTGAAGGGGCTCTCTGGGTGGAGACCAGCCAGTCGCCACCACGGATGGTGCTTCCACCTTCCACCAGGCTTGGAGGGTCCATCTGAGCTCCTCGGGGACCTCTTCCCCTCCTTGAGCCCTGACCCTGCTTTTCGCACCCTCCTGGCCTGGGCTGTCCCGTCCCTCCTGGTGCTGGGGCTCGGCTGGAGGCAGGAGGAGCCGTGTTGGGAGCAGGGTGGGTGGAGGTGGGGCTGTGGGGACACGGAGGTGCCCAGGGCAGTGCCCTGTGCGGGGTCAGGGTGGCACTAGGGCTGCCTGGGGCAGCGGAACACCGCTGGCACGGAGCAGGAGGTGTGGGCAGGGATGGGGACGTTGGATGGGAGCAGGGCAGGGAGCTGGGTGCCAGGTGGGGTGGGGAAGCTGTGGGGTCATCAGGGACCCCCCCAGTGGGTGAGGATAGTGGTGAGAAGGGGAAGGGGCCAGGCAGGAGCAGCGGGGTCACCTCGGCTGCCCCTGTCCCACCATCACCTCCGAGCCCTCCCAAAGCCTGGCCCTGTGTCTCCCCCAGACCCTTCCCGTTGCACTCCAGCCCCTTCCAGCTGTTTGGATTTCCTGTAGCAAATTTACCCTTTGCTTTAACGTTCTGGAGGGTGGGGGAAAAAAAAAGCGGGTTCTGCCCGGAAAAGCAGAATCCCTGGCAGGATGTGTGGTTGGCAGAGCTGCCCCCAGGGGGGCTGAGGTGGGCAGGGAGGATGGAGCGAGGAGCTGGATGCTGGATACCGTCCATCCCACAGCTACTTCCCTACTGGCTGATCCTGACCCCCCCCAGGACCCCTGCACCCCATTGCCCTCCCCGTGCACCCCATCTTAGCAATACTGTAGGACCCCCCCAGAGCCCTAAATCCCCCTCCTGAGCCTCCCTCAGCCCTCTTAGCTCATAAAGCTGGCCCTTTATTTTGCTATTACATGCCTTAATATATGTTTTATGGAAATTATACATTTATAATATATATCTATATTTGTTTTTTTCTCTTCTTTCCTGGGAGGAACTGTTTGTGCCGAGCTCTCTCTCCGCGGGGTTGTTGGCACCAGCCCTGCCCATGAGTTACAAAAAGCAGATTCTTTGCCAATTTATCAGAGGGGAAAAAAAAAAAGAAAAAAAAAAGAAAAAAAAACCTATTTAAAATATATATATTTTTTCTCTGCTTTTATTAAAAGCAAATTTATTTAAAATAAAATATACAGAGACTGTAAGTTTTAAGAGATGACGTTTATTTCCCCGTCCCTGAGCGCAGCAGGGGGGTGACCAAGGTGTGTCCCCATGGCTGCCCTTGGAGCCCAGCTGTGGTTTTGTTTTTTTGTTTTGTTTTGTTTTAAAAAAAAAAAAAACAAGAAAAAGAAAAAACAACCTTAATTAATTTTATTTTGGTTATTATTTTTCATAACACTTCATATACCAGTGACTTGTAACCGAGAAAGGATTTGCATCGGGAGGAAATCTATTTATGCATTGGGGAGGGTGGGATGGGAGGTGATTGTTTTCTGGGATATTTTGCTAGTGGTAGAGAAATAAAAGTATCTATGAAACGACAACATTTGTGTGTCTTTTGTCTAGAGATGACCTTGGTTTTAATATTAGACCAAAGAAACGGTGGATGAATGGCAGCAGGGAAGGGGCTCACCTGGCCCACGGATCTCTCCAGAGGCACCTTCTCCTCCCTCTCTCTGAGGAACCTTTTTCTCCCTCTCCCTGTTTTTGGGGTTCATTTCTCCCAGTTGAGTTTATTTGGGGCTGTGGCTGGTTCTTGGGCAGGAATTAAACCCCTTTTTGTGTGAAGCCAAGGGACAAAACGGGCCTGGTTTGGGAAGAGCTGGAGCTGCTCCGAGGGTCACGGGCACAGAGGGCCCCGGGGGTGGCTCAGGGGTGACATGTGCCACGAAGGGACCCTCTGTTGGCCACAGCCAGTGGGTCTGGTCGAGCCATTATTCCCACAGCAGGACATGAAACAGTCCCAGGACTCTCCTTTCCCTGGAGAGTCTGGATGTGAGCCGGGAATGAGGAGGATGCCACAGGGACCTCGCTGTCCCCCGGGTGCCACTCGGACACCCTGGAGGAGCCCCGTGCTCCCTGTTTTATCCCTATTTCAGGGATTCCTCCAGGCAGGGTCCATCCCACCCCAGGGAGGGCAGGACCAGCAGGGTCCAGTGGCCACGAGCCACCACGTGCCCCCCAGGGGAGGTGCTGTGCCAGCGGGGCGGGTGCTGCCCCGGGGCCGTTAATGATTTGCAGGATGACGTGGGAACCACAGGGACTAAAGGGCTTTTCCAAGGGTCACCGTGGAGGCAGGGCCACCCTCGCCCGGCCTCACCCGGCACCGGCACCGGCAAGATGGTGTCTCTGACCGACTTCCAGCGTAAGTGGGCACGGGGTGACCCGTGGGTGATGCCCATCCCTGTGGGACCAGGGCAGCTCCACGCCAGGGCTGGAAGCTGCTGGCTGGGGTGGCTGGGGGAGGGGTGGAATGGCAAGGGGGATGTGGGGACCAGCGCTGGGGAGGTGCCTGGATCATCTGGAGATCAGCTCCATCCTCCGCTGTCGCTGCCTGCGCTGGCACCTTCGTGCCACTGCTCAGGAAAAGGCTGGAGATGGTTCTTCCCATTTATTTTTTCTACTCTTTTTCCAGAAGCCCTCAGGGGTTTCTAGGGCACCAACAGCCCCAAGGCCTGGACAGGTGCAAAGGCTGTCTCTAAGCTTTGGAGACAAACCCAAAGTGTATTTCTGGGAGGGAATGGGACAGGGAGGTGCTGAAGGGAGTGACCACAACCTGACACGGGACCTGAGGTGTGGAACCGAGCCCTTGTCTCAGCCCTCCCATCTTCCACAGGGATTGGAGTGGGGCTGGTTGGCTTCGGCCTCTTCTTCCTCCTTTTTGGGATGCTCCTGTACTTTGACTCCGTGCTCCTGGCCTTTGGGAACGTGAGTACGGTGGGGCCGGGGCACAGCCCAGGACGGAGCAAAGAGCTCCTCTGACCCGCTCCCCTTCCTCCTTCCTCCCAGATCCTCTTCCTCTCTGGCTTGGTCTTCATCATCGGCTTCAGGAGGACCTTCACCTTCTTCTTCCAGCGGCCCAAGCTGAAGGGCACCAGCTTCTTTTTCGGGGGGCTGATCGTTGTCCTCATGCGGTGGCCGATCCTGGGGATGCTGCTGGAGGCCTACGGCTTCATCACCCTCTTCAGGTGTGTCCCAGGGCACCCAGACCCCCCTGGGGGGGGGGAGAGCAGAGCCAGGGGATCCTCCTCGGAGCCCAACCCAGACTTTTGTGTTGACACAGGAGCTTTTTCCCGGTGGCTTTCGGGTTCCTGGGCTCGCTGGCAAACATCCCCCTGCTGAGCCAGGTGAGCAGGGCTGATGTGCCCCCGGGGCTCTGCAGCCCTTGGGTGGGATCTGCAGTTGGGAACAGACAGGGAAGGTTGGGATCAGACAGGGAAGGTCACCACAGCCACCCCACGGCCCCCTGAGGCTGCACGGGTGGATTTTCCTGCTGATCTGGGTCTGTCCCTGTTGCAGCTCCTGCAGAAGGTGGGAGACAGCGGCTCCATGGTGTGACCTGACCTGGGACGGGCCGAGTGGCTGAGGTGGGATGGTGGCAGTGAGCCCTGGGTCCTGCTGGCCCTGGGGTTGTCTCTCTTGGCCCCGGGACCCTCAGTGCTGTGACCCCACAATGGGGATGGGGCCCCCCTGTCCCGTGGAGCTCCCGGGAGCAGCTCCAGGGACCCAGGGCTGTGCCAGGCAGGACTCTGGAACTATTGCACTTATTTAATTCTTTTTGTCTTCCCCTGGTGAGAGATTTAATAAAAAATGTGTCTGAGACCGAGCTCAGGCTGGGCTCCTTTCCTGAGGCTCCAGCTCTGGCATCTCTTGGTGTCACCAAAGAGGCATCATGGCCATGGCTGGGGGTGGCACAGGGACCTTCCCCTGGCTGTGCCTGAAGGTGGCACAGGGGTCTTCCCATGGGTGTGGCTGGAGGTGGCACAGGGACTTTCCCACGGATGGAGGTGGCACAGGGATCTTCTCATGGCTGGATGTGGCACAGGGACATTCCCATGGCCACGAGTGGGGGTGGCAAAGGCCATTCCCATGGCCACGACTGGGGGTGGCACAGGGACCCTCTGGTGGCCGTGGCCCCCCCGCACTGGCCACCAGCCCCAGGCAGCTGGGGCAGGCCTGGCACGCAGGCAGGGGCCGTGGCACTGCCTTCCCACGCATCCCATGGGGATGAGGCTGCCCGGGAGCCACGGGAGAGGGCAGGGGGGGGTTAGGAAAACACCCATTAAACCACATTAACATTCCCTGACCTGATCGGAGCAGAGTAAATGACCCCAGTCAGGCTCAGCCACCATGAAACAGCAAATGACATCCGGGCTCATTAATTAATGAGGGATGCTGGGCTGGGAGGGGGCCTGGAGCAAACCCTCGGTGTTCCAGAGCCAGGACTCACGTTTCCCATTGGACTGCTCCCTGTGGGATGAGCTGGACCTGCAGGATGGAGCTGGTGGGATTTACAGCACTGCAGGGCACTGGGGCAGCTCTGCCAGGGTTTGGGCCAGGGGAACACCTTCCAGCCCACCTGATGCCCACCCAGGCCCAGGTATCAGGTGCTTTCATCCCTGCTTGAGGAGGACCCACACTGCTGGATGCTCCGTGGGATGGGCATCCCATGGTGTGAGGTGCCAGCTGCCTGTCCAGAGGTGTCCCAATGGCACCAGGAACATCTCCATGGCAGGTGGGATGCTGAGGGCAGCGCTGAGCTCTCCCATTTTCCCCTCAGATGACTTTAAAGGAGTTCTTTTGTCCGGGCTGCAGGAACTCCTCTGCCCAGGAGAACTGGTCGGGTAACTCCGTGTGTTCAGTGGAGCCCAGCCAGGTTCCCGTGAGCACTTGGGGCCCTGGGTGCAAGCAGGAGCTTAATTAAACCAAAGCAATCACATCAAAGCCGGTCCCTGCACAGAAACCCTCCTTCACTGGCAGGAATTAATTACTGAGCTGGAGTTAAACCTGTTCCCTCCCGGAGCTGGTGGCTGTGCCTGCTGTCCCTCGGCGGGCACAGCTCTGCTGCCCGGGACTGCAGGGGGTTGGCACCAGGTGAAAGCAGAGCTGGGAAGGGCTCTGACGGCTCAGGTGATGTGGGGTAACTCATCTGGGCACCCAAATGCCACCCCAGAGCCAGGCTGAGCCCTGGGTTGCAGGGGATGAGCTCCCAGTGGGTACAAACAGGAGCAGAGCTCCTCAAGCACCCAGGGTTGCTTTATGTCCCTGGGAGGGCTGGTTTTGGGAAGTGGATCCCTGGTTTTGGGAAGTGGATCCCTGGTTTTGGGAAGTGGATCCCTGGTTTTGGGAAGTGGATCTTTACTTTGATAGCACCAGAAGGCTCTTGAAAAGGGGAAAATGAGCCTCATGGCAGGAACATGGTGCAGGTAAGCGAGGGCTGCAGCCTCCCCAGTGCCTTTATCCTGTTCCTGTCTTGGCTCTGCCCCAGCTGAGAATTCCCACTTGGGCTCCACAGCAACTTTTTTCCTGGTCAAGCTTCATCTTCAGGCCTTCAGCAGAGGAAAGAGGAACAGTCCTTGATGCATCATGTGCAGGAGAAGGTGGTTCCCACTGTTCAATGCCCCGTCCCCATGGCACATGCCCGGGTGCTGTGAAGTGCCATCACTTCACCCCGCTGGGAAAATCAAGCCAGGATGGAGCATCTTCCCTGGGTGGCACTGAGGGATCATGGAATCCCAGAATGGTTTGGAAGGGACCTTAAAGCCCATCCAGTCCCACCCCCTGCCACGGGCAGGGACACCTTCCACTGGCCCAGGCTGCTCCAAGCCCCGTCCAGCCTGGCCTTGGACACTTCCAGGGATGGGGCAGCCACAGCTTTTCCAGGCTCTGAGGAGCCCCAGGGAACGGCTGTGAGCTCCCTCAGCCTGAAGCTGGAGCTGCTCTCCTGGAGTTCATTGCAGGGAATGTTTTCCCTCCGGCTCAGTAAATCCCTGCTTTGCTGTGCCAGAGCAGTTTTGGTCTCCAGCAAAGGCTTTGGGTTTGCCCTGGCTCTGGCTGACGTCAGTGCTGAATTCCCCCAGTGCTGGTGCCATCCAGAGCCTCCTCTAAGCCCTTCCCTAGAGCTGCTTTTATGCTGGGGCTTTTTGGTCACCCAGAATAAGGATCCTCACAAGCTCCGTGTGTTTTTACTACCAACAAACTCGGGGACGAGGAAAGCGAGTGAAATGCGTGGGAAGGCCAGAAATGTGCCTCCTTTTTTGTGCTGCTTTAAAGGATCCCTCAAGAAATAAAAGCTGCTCGCTAAAACTTCCTAATGATTCCATTTAGAGAGGGAAGTACTTAATATCTCAGGTTTTTATTTTAAGAAAAAGCAATTGCTCAGCCCAACATGAGAGAGGAACAAATTTATCCGGCAGGAAAGCGATTGTTTCTCTCTGGAAAGCATTTTCCTTCAATTCTCTCAATCACTTGACTCCTTGAAAGCAGACAGGGAAATGACTGAAGAGCATTCCCCTGCTATTTCCAGATGAGCTGCTCTTTATTGGATCTGCAATTAGATAAAATCCCAGGCTTTTGGAGCAAACTGCAGCAGGTTTCCCACAGCAGCACACGGATCAAGTGGGGTGATTGCAGCCTTCCCTGATGCCCTGGCACCTTCTGTCACTGCAAATTCAGGTTAAGTGATGTTTTGAGGCTGTGTGGGAAGAGCTGAGCATCTTCTGGGTCACCTGAAGGGCTGGGAATAAAACCAGCATGGTCCCAGAGCTGGCTGATGTCCTGTATCCATCCCTGTGTCTGTCCTTCCCGTGCCCCTGTTCCTCTAACCCCGGGCACAAAAGCACCTTTGCAGGTTATTTAAAGCCTCTCATCAGGTCTTTCCATCGCTGCTCCCGTGCACCAGCTGCTCATCCTTGCTCAGGGCTGGCAGAGGTGACTGGAAAATGCCTTGTGGGGTTTTCCTTGCACGGGGAATGTGTCCTGTGCTGGGAACATCCTCGAGCCCTGGCGCTGGGAGCAAGGACAGCCAACCCCAGGGCTGGCACTGGCCATGCAAGGCAACAGCCCTCAGCCCTCTGATGGCTTTGGGTGAGTTGGTTCTGCCTGTTTTCCCTTGGTTTCCCTTCCAAGGGGGTGGTGGTGCCATTCCCCCTGCCCGGGGGTCTCTTCCCTTCCCAGCTGTATCCTGCTCTGGATGTCCCACGGGATAGGAGTCCATCAGTCCCTCCTTGGGTGAAAGCCATGCCCAGAGCACCCAACACCCCTCAGGGCTCCCGAAAACGTGGCCCTGGGTCAGAGAGGGGCTGGAAACACCAGAGCCCCACGGCCCCACATCCTGGGACCACCTTCCCTGCTGACGTGGCCCCTTCCCTTTGAAGTCCCGCTGCATCCCCGGCCTCTCCTTCGGGGAACGGGGCTTGGCAGAGCCCGTGGGATGCCCGGGAAGGGGATTTATGTCTGCTGGCTCCCTGCCAGGCTCTCTCTCACGTCGCTGTGGCTCCCGGGCTGGGCTGCTGCCTCCTGACCTCTGCACCCCCCTGCAACCTGTGCCGGGGCACGAGGCTGCCCCGCTGACGCAGGGCCGGGGGCCGGCGTGGGAAAAGACGTCAGGGCTGGGGGAGAGGGGTGGGACCCGCGGGGCTGAGCCCTCGGGGCCTGCCAGGGTCAGCATTCCCCTGGCAGCCAGAATCCCACAGGGCAGGGAGGTGTTTAAACCTCGATTTTGGGGGGGGAAGCTGTTTGGGTTGTTCTCCTCACACACACACCCCCTCCAGCACCTGGACAAGGGTGACAGTGGTGCCCCAAACAAATCCCACCCTCCACAGGAGGGGGATTGTGTAGCTGGGGGTCTCGGGGCAGGGGCAAGTGTGTGGTCAGGGTTCTTCCAGGAACGTTTTTTATTGCCTTGGCGCTCATTTCCCACTGAGATTCCTGGAGGTCAAACCCTGGGCTGGGAGCCACGGGGCTGATCCAGCCCCCACTGCCCCGGACTGGGCACTGCCAGGGGGGAGACACAGCGACCTGGGGGCCAGGGAAGCACCTGGTATGAAGGAGTCCTCACACTGAGAGTTTTAGAGGAGTATCTCCCTTCCAAAGCACAGGGCAGGGCTGGGTTTGCCCCTTGATTTAGTATCATGTGTAACAAGTGCAATGAGTTGTGCTGTTCTCCGCCCCGGGCTCTGCTCCCTCGCTGGTTTAAGGCAGCTGGGAGGGTTCCCCTCGTCGTGCTCAGAGCAGCCCCTGGAAGGGCACGGGGGGCTGTGGGGCTGCAGTTGGTGTCTCCACAACCAAAGGGGCTGTGGCTGAGTGTCCTTTGCCATTGCCACCCCCAGGCCTTTGGGGAAAACCCCGTTATTCCTCTGCAGAGTGGGACATCTCCCTGGCCAGACCTGTGCCACCACCAGCACCCCCCAGCAGCTCTACCAGCTGGCACCAGCAGGTCTCTGTGCCCTGCACATGCCCCGGCAGTGCCAACAGGGAGCAAATAACCCCAAGGAATGTGGGTTCAGCGCTCCCAGCTCTGCACAGCCCCCCCCTTGCCAGCTCTTCCCACCGGGCACGGGGGGGCTCCTGGATGTGCCACCCTGGGCAGGGAGGGTCACAGCCACCTGCCCGTGGGATTCCCAGCCCTCCCCCAGCCAGGGGAGGAGAATCCCGGGCTATAAAAGCGTCGTCCCCTCTGGGATGGGAAGGAGCTGCTGGCACAGCAGGAGGCTGCCCTGGAGGACACGATGCCAGCGGGACACAGCAGGAGGGTGCAGCAGTACCTGCTGCTCTTGGCCCTGACCTGGGGTGCCAGCCTTGCCCCCTCGCCAGCCCAGGCTTTGCAGAGGTAGCAGGAGCGTGTGTGGCCCGCACGGTGCCGGGTCCTGCTGTCTCCCCTCTTTTCTGGGGGCTGGGGCTGAGGGTGAGGGGCTCCCCTGCTTCAGCCACGCTGGGAAACCCCTTCCTCCTCCTCCTCCTCCTCCTCTGCTGCTCTGCACCTGCCCTTCCTCGCTCCTCTTCCTCTCTCCGCGTGGTTAATGGTTGGACCCGATGATCCCGGAGGTATTTTCCAACCTAAGTAATTCTATGGCTCGGGAGCACCCCGAATCCCAAATAACCAAGGATGGCCGAGATGGAGCATTTCGCCCCAGCGCGGGGTTGGGCTCAGCCCGCGGGTGGCTGCCAGGGGCCGGTGGGTTCCTCCCGCAGCCCCACCCGCCGTGGGGGTCCCTGCCCTGGGTGGGATCCCCGGGGCGCATCCCCGCCGTGCGGGTGCGGTGGGAGCGGGACCCGCCGGGGTGCTGCGGGGAGCTGCGGGGAGCTGCTGCCATCTAGAGCCACCCGGCTGGAGTTCCCGAGGCGGGAATGCCGGGGTGCGGGTGGCAGGGAGCTGGGGAGTGGGAGAATGTTCTCCTTGAGCCCCCCCAGCCCTGTCCCGGCCCCCTTAGGATCGCGCTGCGGAGGATGCCCTCCATCCGCCAGACGCTGCAGGAGATGGGGGTGAAGGTGTGGGACGTGTTCCCGGAGCTGCGCCAGGGCAGGCGCCGAGGCGGGGCCGGTCCCAGGAACGGGACGGCTCCCACCCTCCTCACCAACTACCTGGACGTGAGTCTCTCCCTTCTTGGGGGTTTGTCACCCCGGTGTCACTTCACGGATCCCCCCTGGCTCGGGTCTGCCCGAGCTGTGCCCCAGTGATGCCCCCCCCGTGCCGTGCCTCTTCCAGACCCAGTATTTCGGCGAGATCAGCATCGGGACCCCCGCGCAGACCTTCAAGGTGGTGTTTGACACGGGCTCGGCCAACCTGTGGGTGCCGTCCTACAAGTGCTCCCCCCTCTACAGCGCCTGCGGTGAGTAGGGGGGCACGGCCGGGGCCAGGGCTGACCCCACACCCCCAGGCTGGGCTCAGTGAAGGGGGGCAAGTCCCTCCACCTCAGGGGCTGCTCGGGGTGGGCTGGTGTGGGGGTCTGGCTTTTTGACAGCCCTTTGCACAGGGAGTTCTGCCCGTTGCTGCCCAGTCCCCTGGCACCGGGGCTCGGTGGGTTCATCGTCACACAGGGGACGTTCCGGGGGAGCAGAGGCCCTCAGCCCCCTCTCTCTCACTTCCTTTGATGCACGTTCTCCCTCTGCCCAGTCTCCCACAGCCGCTACGACTCCTCCAAGTCCCGGACCTACATCTCCAACGGCACCGGCTTCGCCATCCGCTACGGCAGCGGCAGCGTCAAGGGCTTCCTGAGCCAGGACATCGTCATGGTGAGGGGGCCTGGCACTCACAGGGAGCTGCTCACATGCTGAGGGCTCTTTGGGGGGGATTCCACCCCTCCCAGCTCCCTGCAAGGACCCTCGTGCCCTTCCCCAGGTGTCAGACATTCCCATCATCCAGGTGTTCGCCGAGGCCACGGCGCTTCCCGCCTTCCCCTTCATCTTCGCCAGGTTCGACGGGGTGCTGGGGATGGGCTTCCCCAGCCAGGCCATCGACGGCATCACCCCCGTCTTCGACAGGATCCTGTCCCAGCAGATCCTCAAGGAGGACGTGTTTTCCGTCTACTACAGCCGGTGGGTCCCGCGGGGAGCTGGGGGGGGGTTGGTTTTTAGGGCATGGGCATCAGAACCACGTTGGCATCTTGGGATTGGGAATGAGCCGTGGGATGGGAGGGATGAGCCCGTGGAGGACGCCTGGAGGAGCTGGGGGGGAATGAGGCAGCACAGGAGGCAGAGCTGGGTGTAGGTTTGTCTGGAGCTGCTGGGCAGGGAGTGCTGAGGGGGAGCAGCTCCTCTGTCACTGTCGGATTGAACAGAGTCACCAGCTCTGTGAGTAGGGCTGGAGCAATCCCAGCCAAGAGGGGATTTAGTTAGTTTGGTGATTTTGGTTAACTTTTGGCAAAATTAAAAAAAAAACAACAAAACAAACCAAAAGAATCATCGAAGAAAAACCTGCACCGGCAACCAAACCTCCTTTCATTTCTTGCCCCAAAGGGTTGTGCTCCAGCACCCCTCCTCCCAGCATCCCCAAAACCCACTGGAGCAGTGGGAGGACACACCCTGGCAGGGCAGGAATGCTGCCCCAGGCCCCAGACACGACAGCCTGGCACTGTGCAGTGACAGACTCTCAAACACCCCCCCAAATCAGACACGGTACCTCCTGACCTCAGCCAAAGGTTGCATCAACAACAAACAAAGCCAAAGGAAGGGGCTGAGGTTGCCACTGGCACCTGGGTGCCACTTGGGGACACAGCAGAGGTCCACAGCCTCACAGAGCATCCCTCTCTTTGCAGAGCCTCCAAGTAAGAAGACACGGAGCACGAGCGCTCTCCATGGCACCCACTAACAGCCCCCGTGTGCCCCGGGGTGGGCACAGCCCCTGCTGCCCCTGCCAGCCCCAGCCCAGCCCTGCTCCAGCTCACACACTGCAGATGCCCTGGCTGGGTTCTGTCCACGTTCCTGCTCCCCTCGGGAGCCAGCACAGACCTGCTGGGACACCTCTGCATGCGGCACCCCCTCCCACCCCCCTGAGCTAACCCAGGGTTTCCCTGCTCCAGCTTCCTCTCCATCACTTCTACCCGGGTCAGCAGAGCCTCGTGGCCATGGCTGGTCCCTCCTGGCTGGTTTTTTGGGGGGCAGCAGCCAAGGGGGAATCGCTCCACTGTGGTTTGTGCCCTAGGAATGCTCCTCTGAAACCCGGGGGGGAGATAATCCTGGGAGGCAGCGACCCAGCCTATTACACCGGGGACTTCCACTACCTGAACGTCAGCAAGAGCGGCTACTGGCAGATCAGCATGAAGGGGTGAGGGCAGGCAGAGCCCCTGCACGGCACCGGGAGCCATGGAATCATGGAATCACTGAGGCTGGAAAGATATCTAGGATCCTCGGGTCCATTTAGCCCAGCACTGCCAAGGGGGCATCCCAGGGACCCCCGTGGCTGTGGGAGGGGGGGATGTCAGGCTGGCAGCCCGGGAAGGTGGTCCATGGAGCCGAGCTTTCCCTTGGCACTGCTGGGGGATGCTTTCTCCCCACTGGGCTCCTCCAGCTTCTCCACTGCTCAGCAAGGAGCCAGGAGAGCTGGGAATGCAGAGGGGGTGGCACCGTGGGCTGATCCAGCTTGGGAGCCGCAGAGGAAGAGTTTAACCCCCTTCAGTCCTGCAGGAGGAGCGTGAGGCGCTGAAACAACTCTGCTTTGTTTGAACGAAAATAAACAAACCCTGCACATGACAAAGCTTAGCTTTCCAACGGGGAAAGCTGCAAGGGAGGGTTCCCGGGGCTGCTGGAGAGCCCGTGGGAGCAGCACATGCTCTGCCTGGCCACAGCTCCCCGGAGAAAGATGTCACGCTCCCGTGAGCACCCGTGGCATCACCGTGGGATATTCAGGGGCTTCCCTCCCGCTCCAGGGTGTCCGTAGGGGCTGAAATCCTGTTCTGCAAGGAAGGCTGCTCGGTGGCCGTGGACACGGGGGCCTCCTACATCACTGGCCCCGCCGGGCCTGTGTCCGTGCTCATGAAAGCCATCGGGGCGGCCGAGATGGCCGAGGGAGAGGTGAGTCCCCCCCTCACACCTGCACCCCAATCCATCCCTGCCCCAGGGAGTGGGCTCAGGGCCACCTCCTCCTCCCACAGTACGTGGTGGACTGTGACCAGGTGCCTCAGCTGCCCAACATCTCCTTCCACCTGGGGGGGAAGGTCTACGCGCTCAGTGGCTCAGCCTACGTCCTCCGGGTAAGCTGCGCCCTCCTGGCTCCCCTAAAGCGGCCAAAATGAGCCCCAGAATGATGCTCCTTGCTTTCCCCAAACCCTCTCGTCGGGCAGAGGTGTCCACACGAGCCAGAGCAACCTGTCGCTGCTCCCTTGGGTGGTTCTGGGGAGATTTGGGGTGAGCAGCAAAGAGCAGAGACAGGCAGGAATCCTCCTCCCGGGAGGTTGGGTTTTAGGAAGAGGTTCTTCCCCCAGTGGGTGGTCGGGCACTGGAATGGGCTCTCCAGGGCAGTGGTCATGGCACCAAGAGTTCATGGAGTGTTTGGACAGTGTTCCCAGGCCCATGGTGTGACTTTTGGGGATGGTCCCGTGCAGGGCTAAGAGTTGGACTCGATGATCCTTGTGGGTCTCTTCCAATGCAGCATGTTCCATGATTCTGTGATTTTTGGGGTTGTCCTGTGGAGGGCCAGGAGCTGGACTAGATGATCTGGAGTATCCTGAGCTGGAATATCCCTCCAAGCTCAGGATATTCTGTGATTTCATGAGGAAGGAACACCGTGGCCAAGCAGAGGGTGCGGAGCTGGGGGTCCCTCCCTCCCTCGGGATCTCCCTCCTGGCACCACCATCACCACTGGGCTCTCCCTTTTTGCAGCAATCCCAGTACGGGGAGGACATCTGCGTGGTGGCTTTCTCAGGGCTGGACATCCCACCCCCAGCTGGTCCCCTCTGGATCCTGGGTGCCAGCTTCATCGGGCACTACTACACCAAATTCGACCGGCGCAACAACCGCATCGGCTTCGCCACGGCCCGCTGAGCCCAGGGGGCTGGGAGAGGAGGGGGGGAACCAGCCTGGAGGCAGGAGAACCACCAGGAAGCAGCGACTGGGAGTGCAAAAGAGAACAGCAGTTCCCTTCCCGCTCAGCCACCTCCTCTCTCTTCACTGAAGCAACTGCAAACCTTCCCTTCTCCCACTCCCAAACCCCCGCGCTGCTTCCCGGGAGCCTCTGCTGCAAAGGGAGGGCTGAGCCCGGAGCACATCAGCCTGGTGAGTGCTCAGTCTGGGAATCCAAGCGGGATCCTGCGGCCGGAGCTGCTCCTCCAGGGACTTTTAGGATGATGTGCAACAGCACAACCAGCACGCAGGGGATCGCTGCTGGCGTGGAGGGGCCCGCAGGCTGAGCAGGGATCATCTGTTACCAGTTCCCTGTGATTCTTTAATTGGAAGGAAAATAATCTGTGTTTAATGATAGTTTTAGCTGGTGTTAACCCTACCCCTCCCCGTGACTTTGATATTAAACAACTTAGAGCAACAGGACACTGAGTGGAGGCTTGTTCTTGCAGAGGGGAGAGGTCGTACAGCTTTATGAAGGGAACTGCACAGCAAATGTTCCCCTGCCAGGACCCAGCGCTGCATTTATGTCCCTCCAATTCATAGGAGTGCAACACCCTCCCAGCCACTGCCACAGCAGCCACCTGTAGGCAAATCAGGGGCTTTGCCAACAGCAAACAAGCTCTTTCTGCAGGAGATGAGATGCTGTGCGGGCTGCTCAAGCCTCAACCTGTCTTCCCAGGGGGGATCAGGACCACTGGTTGCACCCCTGGGGACAGGGACAGGGCTGGATGTGGCTCCTTGGTCTGTGTCCCACCAGAAAGGTGGCTCTGCTGCCCCTGAGCCTGTTTTCATGGCCATGCTGGCTCCGGCCAACAACCAGAGGCTTGTCTCTGCCCTGGCTGTGTGCAGAGATCCCCCTGGAGCTGCCAGCCCAGTGCCAGCTGGCCTGGAAGGAGGGACAGACCAGTGCTCCCAGCTGGGGGCTGACATTTCCAGTTCTGCAGGAGAGCTGCGGCTCTTCCAGCTCCAGCTCCAGCCCAGCAGCTGCAAATCCAAGTGCTGCCCAAAGCCAAGGGCTGTGCAGTGCTCTTCCTCTCCAGTCTGACCAGTTCAGGTGCTGTGAGGGCCGTGTCCACAGCCAGGTGCCGGGAAATGTGCCTGGAAAGGGGAGTTTGGGCTCCTGAGCAGGGCCTGGAGCGAGTCAGTGTCTCCCCATGGGGGTGCAGCCCCTCACAGAAGCTTCTCACCCTCCTTTCTGCAGCCAGCAGTGACTGCTGATGATTTCCCAGTGCTGATGATTTCCCAGTGCTGATGAATTCCCAGAGCTGCCTCTCAGCTGCAGGGATGTTTGGGAGAGGGACGGCACCGAAGCAGTGGCTGCTGTGTGACCTTTCCAGCCAGGTGTGCTGCAGCCTCTGCTCCATTCCCAGCCCTGCATCCCTCCCTCCATGGATCCTCATCCCCTGCCCTGCCCCACAGCAGTCTTGGAGCAGAGAGGATGTGGCTGAGCGGATGTTTGTCCCTCCTGGGGGAGTCTCTGCAGCCACGTAGCATTTAAACCTCTCAATGTTGGGATGCACGACCCTGGGTCTCCAGAGATGGGAAATTCAATGTACCCAAAAGCGTGATGTGTTTCTTCCCATCACCTTTGCAGCACTGCTCCATCACGGGGGCGAGGGGAGCGGTGGCAGCTCCTCTTGGGGGCCTGGGAGTGCAGGGAAGGGGCCCCAGCAGCCACAGTATCTCCCTTTCATCCAGCATTTCCTGAGCTCCAGGCAGCTGCTCATCAGCACAGGAAACCCCAGGAGCTGGGAGCGGTGGCAGCCCAGGCAGGGAGGGGTGGGAGAGAGGGTAGAGCTGCCTGGAGACCCTCGGCAAGGGGGGATCTGCTCAGGTCAGCACTGGAGCCACAGCCCGGCCTCTCCACAACCTCCTGGAGGTACAGAGATGGTGGAAAGAGCCTCCCTTTCCTTCTTGGAAATAACTAAGCCTCCTCTGCCCTCTTCTACACCACAAAGGCTCTGGTGTGGAGAAGACTGGAGTGGATGTGGGCTTGTGAATGCACCGGGTGACTTCAGCCCCCACCCTGGCTTCTGCCAGAGCCCTCAGCTGGAAAACACTCGGGCTGGCCTGAAATAGGATGTTTTTATGGATCCAGTTCTATTCCTATTCAGCACGGTCGTTTCAAGCAGCAGGAGGAAAAACGCCGGGGCTGCTTGTGGTGCTGCTCCGCGGCCCCCGAAGCCAGGCCATTAACACCTCTAATCGCCTGCTCCAGGGGCAATTTCCCGGTGGAAGCTGCAGCCCTGGCTGCGAGGCACCACTAACCCGCCACGGCCCGGATTAGATCGTTCCGGGCGAGCAATTAGGCCACGCTCAGCCCAGCAAAGCGCGGGAGCAATTATGCCCATCCTATTAACACTGACAGAGCTCGCTCTATATTTAGAAACACGGGACCCGGCTGGTGGATTTTTTCCCCCCCTTCTTTAAATGATTTTCCCCAGGTCTCCACGGTCCATTTAGCTGATTTCAGCCGCAGCCAGCTGTAAACTTTGGAGGGGGCATTCTCTGCTCCCAACCGTGTGCCGTTGTCATTTCCTCTGATAATGAAGCCGGGCTGGAGCCGTGTCCAGAGGCTGCGGGGGCTCTGCCACTGGGCGAGTTCTGCTTTCTCTTTACCCACCAAACCCCTCCCCAGCCCAGCCGTAAATCCCTGTGGGAGGTCAGCACTTGGTGGGCACGATGGCAGCAGGGCTGGAGAGGTTATCCCGAGGGGATACATCCCGCCTGGAGCCCTGGGCGCTGCCAGCTCCTCTCGTGCGTGGCATCCTCATCCTTTTTATTCCCAAAGGGATGGAGCGGGGGGCTGTGCAGAGCCCCCGGGATGGCTGAGGGGCTCGGGGATGGACGGGGAGGCACTGAGGTGGAGAGCACCGGCTGCGGCGCGGGGCGGTCCCTGTCCCCCGGGATGACTTAGGGATTCCGGGAATGGATGGGGAAGACATCCGGGATGAGGGCAGCAGGGTCCCGGGATGCCGCGGAGGGTCCCCTGGGATGGCTGAGGGGCTGCGGGGATGGTTGTGGAGGGCACCGTCAGCAGGTGCGGCGGTCCCGATCCCGGTCGGGTGTGGATCGGGGGGTGGGTGCGCTGCTCGGGATCCCGGTGCGGGCGGGATGCGGGTCCGCGGCCGGGTCCCGGTGTGGAGCGGGTGGGATGCGGATCTGCCGGCGGGTCCCGGTGCGGGTGCGATGTGGATCCACTGCCAGCGTCCCGGTGCGGGTGGGACGCGGATCCACCGGCAGGTCCCGGTGCGGGTGGGATGCGGGTCCCGGTGCGGGTGGGATGCGGATCCACCGCCGGGGTCGCGGTGCGGGTGGGATGCGGGTCCGCCGGCGGGTCCCGGTGCGGGCGGGCGCTGCCGCTGGCGGGGAGGCGGGCGGGAGGCGGGCCGGTGACTCATGGCTTCCCAACGGCGGGCGGCTCCTCCCCGCGCAGCCCCCGGCACATGGGCCGCGGCTCCGGCAGCGCGGAGCTGGCCATGGCCGCACCGCCCGCCCGCTGCCCCGACTGCCCGGGGCCGGGGCCGGAGCGGGGGGGCGGCGGCGGGACCCCCGCCGTGCCCCACCTCGGCATTGCGGTGGACGAGCGTGACGTGCTGCCCGGGGCGCTGCGGATCGTGCGGGAGATGAGACCCGGCTGGGAGCCGGCCAGGGTGAAGACCAAGGTACGGGGGGGACAACACACACCCTGCGCAGAGATCCCTCCACCCACCCTGAGAACCGGCCGCCGCACCCCCCGCGGGGGTCGCCCAGGGGGGGCTGCAGAGCCCGACCGGGGTGGCGGGTACGGGGTTATGGGGTCCCCCGAGATTATAGGGGTTCACCCGGGGGCGGCTCTGGTGCTCACCCTGGGAGGTTACAGGGTCTGCCCTGGGGGGTCTGTGGGGTTCAACCCTGAGGGGTTACAGGGTCTACCCGAGGGGGGCTGTAGGGATCATCCGAGGGAGGCTGCAGAGTTCACCCAAGGGGGTCTCCCAAGGGGGACTGTGGGGCTCGCCGTGGGGGGCTATAGGGCCGGCCCTGGGACAGCCATAGAGCTCACTCGGGGGGGCTGTAAGATCCGCAGGAGGGTGACTGTAGAACCCACCATGGGGGGCTCTGGGACCTGCCAAGGAGGGTGTGATGCACTGTCCCCCCACTTCTGGTTCTTTCTCCCCTCCTCTCTCTGAGCACAACTGGGACCCATCAGATGTGCGAAGGGGCGACACCCTCATCACACACATCCCCACGAGGTTCAGGGGTCCCTCAGGTGCTCACTGAGAGGTGACTGTGAGAGCAAGTGTGTCCCCAGGGTCCCTGCAGGCTGCCAAGGTGTGGGCTGAGGGCTGGAGGGTGCCCACAGGAACAGCTACTCCTGGGAGCTGCTCTGGCTTGGGTTACTTGTTGGCTCTCACCTTTCCCGGGTTGCGTGGGCTGAGCTGCAGTTCAGGTGGGAGTTGGAGTCCAGCTCTGAATCCCTTGCACGGGACAGGGCTTGGCTGTGTGGAGCTGGCAGGGCTTTGCTGGCAGAGCAGGGCTGGCACCTGCCTGGCGTGGCAACCCCTTTCCCCCTCCTCACCTCTGCCCGGGGGTACCAGGGTGAGACAGGCTGGTGGTGTCTGAGCCCTCAGCAGCCTCCTGGCGACGGGCACTGGGGTGTGGAGGTGCAGGAACTGGGTGCACTCGAACGTCTGCACGTGTGTGTGTGTGTGTCCTCCGCAGGCACATGCTTCCCGTGTGCCTGGAGTGCCATTAAAAATGTATTAATAGCCAAGTGTAATTAAATACAAGAAGCTGCAGGAAAATCCATCTGAAAGGGCAGATGGCAATAGGCAGGAAGCTGGGAGCTGGAGTTGTAGGGGCAGGAAATGTCTCGCTCTGTGCAGCGCCCAGCACAGACCTCGGTGGTTGTGGAAGGACCCCGGTGTCCAGGCTCTGCAGGCGTTGGAGGGGTCAGTGTTCAACAACAGCTTGTGTGTGTGTTTTTAATTTAAAAAAAAAGGGGAAAAAAAACCCATAGGAGTTGAGGGAAAACCCTCCCGTTGCGTTTCTCTGAGCTGCTATTGCAGGAGCCGTTCAGGAGGGGACTGGAGCAGTGCAGGGTCCTCAGCTGGTTCCCATTAGCATTCCCGGTCCCTTTCCCGGTGCTCTGGAGCTGTGCCCGGTTCACACCACCTCGTTGCCCGGTGTTGGTGCACAGTTGCCTGCACAGGGGCTGTACCAGGCTTTGCCAGTGGCACAGGAAAATCTCCGGGAGGTCAGGGCAGGGTGTGGAACACCGGGAGAAGGATCTGGGTGCTCGGCCTCCCCTGCCTGCCCTCTCCTTGCTGGGGGCTCCAGGTTTGCCCACTTCCCAAGGCTTCTGCTCCTCATCCCTTAAGCACCTCCGTGCCGGTGAGTCAG